ACCTCCCCACCCTCAAAATTCCCACCCCCTGGGGCATCCAGCCTTCATGAGGTCAAGGTTCTCTTCTTCCACCTATGCCCAGCAGGGCCCTCCACTTTTACATATTCAGCTGAAGCCCTGGAAAATTTTGTTGTCTTAATGACGTAATTTTCTCCTTTCTTTTTTGTCCTCAGAACAAATGTCAAGCCTTTGTGTTTGACCTGGTCACAAGTCAGGTCTTTGACGTCATCATTCTGGGTCTTATTGTCCTAAACATGATTATCATGATGGCTGAATCTGATGGCCAGTCCGAAGAAGTGACGAAAATCTTTGATATCCTCAACATAGCCTTCGTGGTCATCTTTACCGTAGAGTGTCTCATCAAAGTCTTTGCTTTGAGGCAACACTACTTCACCAATGGCTGGAACTTATTTGATTGTGTGGTCGTGGTTCTTTCTATCATTAGTAAGTAAAACCAGTAGCCAGGGCTTTCCAGGAGAGGTAGAAGCAAACCCTAAAGATAATCATTTGGAAGTGTGTCACACTTCTCCACAAAGCAACAGATTAGGCTTAGTGTAGCGTGTGGAAAAACCAGGTGGCAGTAGGGGGCTAAGGACTGCATGCTCTGTTGGGAAATTGCCACAAGGTGGTGATTTACATTCTCTCGATGGATTTGCTTGTTCAATGAAGAGAAACAAAGTATCTCCATTAACAGTTGTTGCAGTGCTTCCTGACATCTCAGGTGGCAAATAGGATTCCCACCTTTTCTGTGCTACTGTGAGCTCCCATGGGGGCAGTTTGTGGTTTTAGGAGCTTGGCAGTTAGTACTGATGTTGGTGACCGTGTTCAAAACTCACAAGGGTACCAGAGCATCTGTTAGATCAGGATCCATTGCCGGGGCTCCCTTGCTTCCCATTCAGCTGTCAAGACTGCCCCACACAAGAAGCAGTACCCACTCCTTATCCTGAATCCCATGTTTACTTGGATCAGGGTTTGGGCTGCATGTGTCCCAGCTGCTCTGACCCTACTCACTGGCAAGCCTCTTTATATAACCAGTGGATTTTTCATAGCTAAAATTCTGCCGCATCAAGCAGAGAGCGAATGGGAGAAAGCGTTATTAGCATGCACTTACTCCCTTTCTTGTCTTGTGTTTTCTTTCTTACTTCTTTTTTTGGAAAATTTTTATTTCTATCATTTTAAAATTATGTGTATGGGTGACCAAGTTGACCAGAGCCAAAGACATTGCACCTCTGGAGCTGGAGTTCCAGACCCCGATCTGATGTGGGTGCTGGTGACCAAACTCAAGGTCACTACAGCAGAAACTTATGCTTTTCATCTCTAGCCTTTCTTTCTTTCTTTCTTACTTTCTTTCTTTCTCTCTTTTCTTTCTTTCTTTCTTTCTTTCTTTCTTTCTTCCTTCCTTCCTTCCTTCCTTTCTTCTTCCTTCTTTCCTTCTTTTTCTTTCTTTCTTTTTACTTTTTTCTTCCTTCCTTCCTTCTTTCTCTCTTTCTTTTCACTTCCTTCTTTCTCTTTTTTCTTTTTTCTTCCTTCCTTCCTTCTCTTTCTTTCTTTTTTCTTCCTTCTTTTCTTCCTTTCTTCCTTTCTCTCTCTCTTTCTTTCTTTCTTTTCACTTCCTTCTTTCTCTTTCTTTCTTTTTTCTTCCTTCCTTCCTTCTCTCTCTCTTTCTTTTTTCTTCTTTCCTTCCTTTTTTCTTTCTTTCTTCCTTCCTTCCTTCTTTCTCTTTCTTTCTTTCTTTCTTTTCACTTCCTTCCTTCTTTCTCTCTCTTTCTTTTTTCTTCCTTCCTTTTTTCTTTCTTTCTCTTTTTTCTTCCTTCCTTTCTTTCTTTTTCTTTCTTTTTTTTTATGCTGAGAATCAAAACCCAGCCTTGTGCACATTAAGAATTTTACTTTTTCATGGATAAGCCATTAGAGTTTATTTGGGTCCTTGAAATTTGATTGTAATTAATTACAACTTATTAGTCTATTTGACTTTTTTTTCCTCTTTCTCTTTTTTGAGGAGGAATGTTAAGATGGGTATCACTGTAGTGCAGGTAGATCTGGAATTTATCGTACAGCCTAGGCTGGCCTCAAGCTTATTAAAACTTCCCACAGCAGCCTCCCAGGTGCTGGGATTATAGATGTGTGCTGTCGCTTCTGACTGAGCTCCGTCTTTCACACAGCGCAGGAGGGTCTAAGAGACTTTCTCGTAGTTCAGAAAGCAATGAAGACAAGGAGAACCAAATTTTACACATGGAGGCTTCATCTCATCTCAGAAAGGCTGTGTCACAGGTTTAGACATGAGTGGTTTCTCTCGATATCAAGTAATGCAGATCATGAAGGGAGTCTGCTTGGGTTCTAAGCTGTTAGGTTTCTGAAGATAGTATAAATAGGCTCATATGTTGGCAGCAAAGTAGACCTATGATCCTTATGAATTAGTCCTGATCCCAAGTTCTGGTGAAATTGATGTCAACGGAGGGTAGAGAACAGTGGACAGATGAGTCGGGTACCGCCCTGCACCAAAGGGAGTGCCGTGAGCCCTTCCTCCCATAGGCGAAGAGGGTCATCACCCATTCCAGAATGTGCTGGGCATTGTGCAGCTTCTAGAACTATCTCTGGGGTCCTTCTAACAGCTGCTAGATCATGGAAATCACATGTGCTACTAGAAACTTCGCTCCAATGCAGGACAAAACCTTCACAAGAAGCCAAATGCTGCTCACCGATGTGCAGAGTTCCATGTACTTATATGTGCCCACATCCAGCACCTGGCCTCCACACTTCCTCCAAGCTCTTCCTTGAGCTTTTATAAGTAACGCAAAATGAGTGTGAGCAGGAGTCTAGGAGTTAGCCATTTAACTGGCAAGGAAGGCTTACTCATTTTAGTTGAATACCAAGTCGTGTGGCTCACAAAAAAAAAAAAAAAAAAAAAAAAAACCAACCAAAAAAAACCAAAAACTGCACTCAGAGAAAAGACAGATTCATACAGGCCCAATCAGTCCAGGAAGGATTCAGGGCTAAGCCCAAAAGGGCTAGTATTGTTGAGTGAGCACCATCCTTGCTAGGATCGTCTGTCCAACTAGCATACGTCTTTTACACAGTCGGATGATGAGGTTTAGTGAGTGAGTTCTCTGTAGTCATTAGGAGACTGGCAAAAGCATTTTCACTGCTGTGATCCCTAATGACCTCAGAGTAAGGGGAAGACCATGTCTACACAAGGCAAGCATGTTCCAGCCATTCTATAATATTTGGGCCAAAATGTAAATGCCTTAACTCCTCATAGCACTTGCCTGCTGGGCAAGCAATGAGAAAACATGGTGACATTTTGGGTCCAAATATTCATCAGTTTGCACAAAGCTCTGAGACACCATTTCGGGTGTGTCTGCAGCAGAGAACATGTGTGAGCTTCATGATCCCTCAGGGGTCCTCAGGGTGAGCAGAACATCAAACAGGGATCAGTGGGCATCTCTGGAGTAGAAGAAAATCTCAGGCCTGCTTTCTCCCTCCAGCTCTACACACTACAGTTAGTCTGTCTTCACCACAGAGGGCTGTATCAGAACCCCAGATGAATAAGCATCTGTCCCTTTTAATAAGCTTGGGTCTCTCAGACTCTACAGTTTTCCTCTGTAGCTCAGTCAAGGGTTAAGCCATAGTTCAGATTAAATGTCTCCATGCACTCTGAAAGTGTCAACATCTGAAAAAAAGGGCGTGTTTTCCATCTGCATCCAGTAAATAGGGAAAATCATGACAGGTGTTGCCCCGGGGGTAGCTAAACAGAAAATGCAATAGCTAATAACCCTTTATAAATGGCCATATTTTCCTTCTTTAACTTCAATGGCATATGCATTCCAGCCCTCTCAAAAAGTCCCATCTAAAATCATATGGCCCTTAGAGATTATTTTTTCAAATTGAAACACAAGTGGACAGTTCTTAGTTTTGTGTATAAACAACAAAGTGTGTATAACAAGTTGGCCCCTCAGGATTCTGAGGTGGAAGACTGGCTGAGGTTGAAGCTGGAGTGCATGCTGGGAATTCACTGGTCCTCCTTCTCTAGGTACCTTGGTTTCTGGCTTGGAGAACAGTAACATTCCCTTCCCGCCCACGCTCTTCAGAATTGTCCGCTTGGCTCGCATTGGTCGAATCCTCAGACTGGTTCGGGCAGCCAGGGGAATCAGGACGCTCCTGTTTGCTTTGATGATGTCTCTCCCCTCTCTCTTCAACATCGGCCTGCTGCTCTTTCTGGTGATGTTCATTTACGCCATCTTTGGGATGAACTGGTTTTCCAAAGTGAAGAAGGGCTCTGGGATCGACGACATCTTCAACTTCAAAACCTTTTCGGGCAGCATGCTCTGTCTCTTCCAGATAACCACTTCAGCCGGCTGGGACACTCTCCTCAACCCCATGCTGGAGTCAGACGCCCACGCCCACTGCAACTCCTCCTCCGGAGACAGCTGCCAGCAGCCTCGGATCGCCATAGTCTACTTTGTCAGCTATATCATCATCTCCTTTCTCATCGTGGTCAACATGTACATCGCTGTGATCCTAGAAAACTTCAATACAGCCACGGAGGAGAGCGAGGACCCCCTGGGGGAAGACGACTTTGAAATCTTCTATGAGATCTGGGAGAAGTTTGACCCCGAAGCAACACAGTTCATCCAGTACTCTGCCCTCTCCGACTTTGCCGACGCCCTGCCGGAGCCCTTGCGCGTGGCCAAGCCTAATAAGTTTCAGTTCCTCATGATGGACTTGCCCATGGTGATGGGCGATCGCCTCCATTGCTTGGACGTTCTCTTTGCTTTCACCACCAGGGTCCTCGGGAACTCTAGCGGCTTGGATACCATGAAAGCCATGATGGAGGAGAAGTTCATGGAGGCCAATCCTTTTAAGAAGTTGTATGAGCCCATCGTCACCACCACCAAGAGAAAGGAGGAGGAGCAGTGTGCTGCCGTCATCCAGAGGGCCTACCGGAAATACATGGAGAAGATGGTCAAGCTGAGGTTGAAAGACAGGTCAGGTTCATCCCTCCAGATGTTTTGCAATGGAGACTTGTCTAGTTTGGATGTGGGCAAGGTCAAGGTTCATTATGACTGAACTCTCACCTCCACCCCTACCTCACAGCCTCACAGCTTAGCCTCTAGCCTATGGCGAACAGGCCACGGACTTACTGAACAGGACGTTCAATTTGTTTTCTTAGGTGAGAGAGGTGATAGGCTGGTGTCCGTTTTTAAATGATTCTTGGAAAGATTTAATGTAGAAAGGACTGCAAAAAGACCCACACTAATGGAAGGCCCGAAGGGACAGTTCAAATCATGTAAAGATAAGAAATGAGAAGGAAAGGTCACGTGAAAACTTCAGAGTGTGTTCTCAGTACATTCCCTGACATGTCTGTTCAGTGTTTACGTATGTGACCTGCCACACGTAGCTCCTTTGCATGTTAAGTGAGAAGTCAAAACCCTGCAGTGAGTAAATAGCTTTTTGCAGGTGTTTCTACCAGCATCACGGATTTGGGGGTATACCTAGAACCTGAAAGCATGATTATGACTTGTCAGCACCCCGACTTTCAGACTTTCAGAAGCTCTGTCCCAGGTGTTTAACAAATAAATAGATAAAAGAAACATCTAATTTGCATTTCATTGAGATGGGCCGAAATGTCCTCATGCTTGGTGGTTGTATGAACTGTGGTTTGATGTAGCCCAGAGCCAGTCATCTGTCAGGAAGGTAGTTAGCAGTTGGCTCTTTGGGAGGAAGAGGCCCTGTGTCTTAGTGTCACAGATTTCTGTCACATGAATGTCCCCATCATGACTGGTTCCAAGCTATAAACACGGTAGTTATTGAAAAACAAGATGGGAAGAAATGAGTGTATTAAATGTTCAAGAGCCATCCTGGACTGGCTCCAGCCACCATTTCTTGGATTCAAAAAGAAGTCTGGTTGGGCTAGGCAGCAGTGGCACATGCCTTTAATTCCAGCACTTGGGAGGCTAAGGCAGGTGGATTTCTGAGTTCAAGGACAGCCTGGTCTACAGAGTGAGTTCCAGGACAGCCAAGGCTACACAGAGAAACTCTGTCTTGAAAAACCAAAAAAAAAAAAAAAAAAAAAGTCTGGTTGGCTTTGGGTAAAGCACCTGCAGAGTTAGAGCAGGGGGCTGGGGATGGCTCTGTTGGGAACGTGGCTGAGCAATATGAGAACCTGGAACTATCACATCTGGGCAGCAGCCCATCTGTAATCCCGGTTCCCTAGAAAGACATGGTGTGCTGGCTCATTTTTATAGCCAACTTGATGCACCTAGGGTTACTTTGTTTCTTTTCCTTTCTTTCTTTCTTTCTTTCTTTCTTTCTTTCTTTCTTTCTTTCTTTCTTTCTTTTTTTAGGTTTTTCGAGACAGGGTTTCTCTGTGTAGTCCTGGCTGTCCTGGAACTCACTCTGTAGACCAGGCTGGCCTCGAACTCAGAAATCCACCTGCTTCTGCCTCCTAAGTGCTGAGATTAAAGGCATGCGCCACCACTGCCTGGCTTTGGAAGAGGGAATTTTGGTTGAAGAATTGCCTCCATCAGATCTCTCTGTGGCTCCATCTGTGAGGAACTGTCTAGATGATGATTGATGACAGTCCACTGTGGGCGGCATCATTCCTAGGAAGGAGGGTGTGGGTGTATAAAAAGCCAGTCAAGTATGCACTGGAAAGTAAGCTAGCAGACAGCACTGCTCCATTGCCTCTGCTTTGGGTCCTGCCTCCAGGTTCCTGCCTTCACTCCCTTCAGTCATGGGTTGTTAACTGGAAGTACAAGCTGAAATAAACCCTTTCCTTCCCGAGTTGTTTTGGTTATGGCATTTATCACAGTGACAGATATGGACTAACCCCTGGTACCTTAAAGGAAAGAAGAAGGAGTTGCTTGCGGGACCAGGGATATTTTGAGATAAGACACGAGGAATCCCATGCAGGACTATAAAGACCTCAAGGGAGTTGCCAGTCCTAAAGTCACAGTGATGTTCTCTCATTCCATTCTGGGTGGTAACCGATGGGGCAGGCTAAATAATGCCACCCTTATAAATCCTTGGATAGAAGCTAGTTAGGCATGGGTCCTTATAGGTCCCTAACGAGGGCTCCTATTCTTAATTGAAAGTAATTTTTTCCTACAGTATATTCTGGTCACGCTTTCCCCTTTCTCATCTCCTCTCAGAGTCTCACAACGTTCTCACTCATCCAACCCCTCTGCAAATATAAAAGAAGACAAAAATGAAAATGAAATATACAGAGAAACAGGCAAATGCATGTGTGCACATGCATGCATGCCACATACATGCACATACATGACACACAAATATGCACACATGGGCGCACACCCACATGTACACATGTGCCACACACACATACACACATGGGTGCACACACACAAAACTCAGAAAAACACAAAATTGGAAAACATACAAATAAAAGATCAGTAAGATGAAAAGAACGCCCAAACAAAGCAATATAATTTGTTTAAAAAAAATCTACAAAATACCTTTGAGTTTGTTTTGGGTTGGCCATCTACTGCTGGGCATGGGGTCTGCCCTTAGTGTAATTTATATATTCAGTGAGACTCTATTGGAAAACCCTAATTTTTCCTTCAGTCTCCCTTACATAGGTCTATCCACCCCTACATGGGCTCTAGCTAGGAATGGGTTTCTAGAGCTACCTCTGAAGGCAAGCACCAGCTCCAGAGGTTGAACTATGCACATTTCCTTCACTAGATGGCAGCAAACACCCAACTCGATCTTTCTAAGTGCCCCACAGTGATCGTGAGCCTGGTACTTCCACAGCCTAAGGGAGGGACCCAAGGCAGGAAAAGGAGAATTATTCAAGCCTTAGAGAGAGCTGGAAGCTAGTCCTCCCCAGGGATGGCTTTCCCTGGGCAAGCACCAGGATAGCCGAGGGGCCTTGGGGGACTGCTGGGTGGAGAGATAGCTCAGTCAGTCAAGAAGTCATGTTGTAAGCATAAGGACAAGAGTTCAACCCCAGAATCCTTGTGAAAAAGCCAGGATAGTGTCATGTGCTTGTGATCCCAGGGCTGAGATATCAGATGTAGTCCAGAAGGGTGAAAAGATGCCCTGAGTGCTTTCTTCCAAGGTAGGGACACACTGACTGTCCCAATAAACCGATGTACAAACATGGAAGCCCCCCACCCATTTGTCCTCTGTGTCCTCTCTTCCAGGTAAATCTGGTTTTTCTTAACTCAGGCAACAATCCCGTCCTGAGGACAGACCTGGTACACTGCATAACAGCTGCTAACCAGTGGCCCTTGACCTTTAGAGCATCTAATTAGGAAGAGAGTCACACAAGTGTTTTCGTGATGATAAAACAATACAATGTAACAAATGCCAGAAGCTGGGAGGGTTCTGCTCTCAGGATGTTGATGGGGGAGGATTTCAGGAGAGAGTGACAGCTGGGTGAACTTGATCAATGGCAGGGAGGGTTTTGACAAGACAGTGGTTTGGCAGTGTTTGCAGTGGAGCAGACAGCCCCCAGCAACACTATGGGGAAGCTAGGATAGATAAAGCAGTTTGAATCACCCAACTGACTACACAGGAATGCAGAGAGCAGAGCAGAGTAGAGGCAGCAGCAGAGGAAGGAAGCTCTGAGTTGGAGGGATAGCTGAGTCAGAAACCTCTTCATGTTCCACGCATGAGGATGTAAGCTAAATTCATGTTCAAGAAGCGACTCAAATACCCACTTATATACTGAGTTACACCCAGTTGGTAACGGGGAGGCACTAAAGGTGTTTGGATGGTGCAGAGAAAACATCTGGATGGGACGGGCAGAGAGGAGGAAAAACCACCAGGGACAATTGACCCTGGTGGAAAGGAAAGATTGAGCCAGGGAGGGCACAGGGACAACATAGTGTGTCTGTGATGCTGGGTGCTTTAGAAGAAGAGTCTGGGAGGTCCTTAGACTTGGGGACTTGTAGCAAGACAGATGGCAGTAGAAAGCTCCTGGGGCAGAGCTGGAGAGGTGGCTCAGTGGGTAAGAGTGCCATCACCTATACACACCCTGGGCATGGCCACACCTGCCAGTAATTCCAGCACTGGGGCAGAAACAGGAGAGTCACCAGGGCTTGCTGGTCACTGGCCTGGCTCCATGTTTAGGGAGAGACTCTGTAGGAAGGGAAGCCAGCTAGGAATGATATAGAACAGGACACTTTGTCTCTTGATACTATCCCTCCTCTGGCTTCTGTACACATTTGCCTCATGCCCAGTAGCACTCACACACACTACACACACACACACACACACACACAAACTAATTAACTGTCATCTAAAAGAAAAAAACCCAAACATGTTACCAAGGCAATGAGGGGAGGGAAAGCCAAATTTTTATTTTCATTTCTTTTGTTTTCATGATTAGAGAGGAAGAAACCCCCAAGTGGAGTCAGTTTGGTTCAAGATCCCAGGTCCAAGGTGCCTATTTGCAGCCAGGCACAGGAATATAGTGTCAGGTGTGGGCAGGAGTTCGATGCACAGGGATCTGAAACCCCAGGAGCAGCATCATGGCAGAGACACAGTCAGACCCAGAAGGCAGGGAACATGACCTGGTGAGGTAGTGTCAACCCAGCTTAGGGTGTAGGCTGGCTGCTGAGAGTCAACAGCACAACCTGTTGTGTGAACATCAGAACCCCATGTTCCCACCCCTCCCACCAAGCACCAGGAGCCATACATCTGAGTGCTTTGTGGGGCACGGATAAGCACTTGCCTTATAAATAGCTAGGCTCAGGAGCCAGCTATGCCAGGAACAGCCCTGGAATGTCAGCTTCAAGCACCCCAGGCCTTAGGAAAAGTTCAAGTCCCATACGCTCTCCCTCTTGATGGAGGAGGAGGAGAGAGTGCTCAGGTAGCCTGTTGCCTGGCAACCAGGAGAGAACCTCTGGGGTCATTCAGTGGGTAATCCTGTCCCTCACACACAAGGAGTAATCAAAGCAGCTGCAAGGAGGGAGAGCTAACATTTACTGAGAGCATGTTCTGGGCCAGGTTAGCACGTCATCCCCGACTCCTGGCTGGGTTTTCACCAAAGCTCTGTTAGATAGAAATTGTCTTTAGCCTTTCTCATCTAGAAAAGGAAA